GTGAGTGTAGTGAATAGGAGTTTCATTGGTAGTGTATTCATATATGGATATAGGAAGTTGTCAAATTCATGCTACTGTCTTTTCTATTCCTATGCCCACTCCCTTCCCTTCATTCTCCTGTCTAATCCACTGAACCTCTACTAACAACCTCTCCACCCTTTTTGGGTAATAACATATGCATCTTGGGCTTCATCTATGCCAAGGACTTTTAGAAGGGTCTCTTAATGTTATATTTCTATATTTCTAATATTCTAGTCATGATTTCTATGCATCTTTTCTTTATTGTCAAATTTATTTTCTAGATTATATAGTTTATGATCTTTCTCCTTTTTGATGACATATATTGGTCATGTTTTCTATGAAAATTTTATTTTGATTTTTTGAGTCTTTCAAGGGTTTTTTCACATAATTTATCTCTTTATTGAAATGATCTTTCGTTTTTTATACTTTATGTCTTAATTCCTTTCTGAGTATTGGTGTACACACCAATACTCAGGCCTACTGGAGCTTGTACATACATACCATCATTCCCAGACTCTCGCTTTCACCTCACACATACTCACAATGCAGACACCAACACAACGGTAATGTCCCTTTCTGTCACATAATCACTCACACATTCATCTTCCTTGTGTGTCTCAGTACCTTGTACAGATATGTAAGTTTGTGCTTATCTACAAGCCTGTGAATTCCATAAAGAAGGTATCCTTGTGTGTTCTTTACATTTCTTTCATCCTACCACACACAATCTGGACAACATTGTCCACATGCAGCATTTAAACAGGCTAGGTGTTTGCTTTGAATGCACAGGGTGTTATTTGAAGATCCAAAGTGATCTCTTGCAACCTTCCCATGTTGGTGAGATGAGATGGGTTCAAAAGAGCAAGAATGGGAAGAAATCATACCTCACAAGGACATGAGGTTTTCAGGTCGAGGGTAGGATTGTTCTGCAAACTTAAGGGTCAGCTTTCATGCTGGACAGTGCTGGAAAGAGAGCATTCACCAGAATCTATTTTATAAGGGGGACACACAAAAGAGCTTTGCTGAAATGTTCGTCACCAAATAAGGCACGAGATAGAGTTTCAAAGAAAGTTTTCCAAATATATTGTGGAACGCCCAAGTCCAGGGTTAGAACAAACTTCTTTACCAAGTGAAGGTGGACGCCTCTTGCTTCACACAGTGCTTGTGAGGCGATGCCAAACACCTCCTTTACTCAAGGTTGAGAAAGGAAGCTCAACCCATGGGAAGGCAGCCTCCCATGGTGGTCAAATTTCAGGCATCCTCAGCTCCTCCATATCCTGCATGTATGACCTTGATCCATGACCCATAACTCCATACGACCTGAACTTTGCTCCTGGGTGCTTTTGCCCACTCATGCCCAAGGTCCCATCCTCTGACAGGCTCACTACCTTTTCTCTGCAGGTCTTTTCTCCCTCCCCTTGTCTATCATGTCCCCCAGCTCCACTTTCTTTATTTACACCTATATGTGCCTTAGTCCATTGCCCACCAAGATCGACCTCCCCCTCTCCTGCTCCTTTCCCCACAGCACACTTCATCACATTCCCATGAACCGTAACGTTCTTTTGCCTTTGAAACATGCATTGTCAATTTACCCTCTGTTAATGGGACACCTGTCATCCTCCTCCCCTCCAGAACCCAATATCCTTAACGTCCTCACACACACACTGTCTTTGTGACCTAAGCCCAGCGCTGACTTAAGCCCCTGAGCAACATGTGGTATCCTTCTGCCTTCTCACTCTCCACCTTCGGCTCTTCCCCAGCACTTTGTGAACCTGCCCTCCAGGGTCTCCGCTCCACCATATTAACTCTGTCATCCATTTCCCTGTGTCCTCTGTCACTCTCATCTGTCACACAGTCTGTCCCTGTCATTCTTCTAAATGCTCTGCTCCACTATTAAACAATTGCTGCTGGTTATTGCTGACATGTGCCCCAAGAGTTGGAGTGTGTGCACAGTGATCAAATTCTGAGGCAGGTAAAATGGAGAAAAATTAAGAGAAATGAGTTTCAGACAAGTTAGTGAAAATTCTCTGTTGATATTTTTTTTCTACTGGTTTTCTGCACCATACCTGATCCCTTCAGCCTCTGTTGGATATTGATTTTTGGTTATGCTATAGTTGAACAGTGGTTGCTTTCAGGGCAGCCTGGGAGCTGAGAAGATTGAGGTAGGATCAAGCTAAGTAAAATGACTGGAGCTTCTTGTTCCTTCTGGT